CCTTTCAATACCAATTGATCGGGGATCATACTTCAGAGTTTGTGCACAGAATGAGCGGAGTCCCCAGCTGAAAGGAAAAGTGAAGTCCGCCGTAGCAATTGCACAAATCCGTCAGCCGCCAAGAAATTCCCCTTGTCGAACACATTTTCCATCTCCTCTTCGAGAACAGAAGACTGAAGATTTCTTGTGTGACAACACATTATGATACTCCACAATACCAAGTTAGAGTTGGCATTTATAGGTAATCGGTAGTGACTTCTACGACTATTACTTAAACTAAGAAGTCGCTCTTGAGGACATAATCAAGACACGGATAGCTCGTACCGTGATTCATTACTGCAAAACTGCGATCTCTTTCCAAGCAACACTAAGCATTTTAGGACCTACGCAAGCGACGGGGCGTTGGCAGTGCACTCAAAACCGCGTTAAACATTTAACAGTGAGCAAGTCTCATTTTCCCTGAAATTCCTACCACTCCTTTGCTTAGTCCTAAGGGACACTCCTCTTGGGATTGCGTTCACATTCATTTCTTGGTTTCATGTCATTAATGCAGTGAAAGATTCTTATCGCATGATAAATATCGATGATGAAAGTTCGTCATGCTAATAGAGCAACTGCTTACCATCTCGTGTCGCGATATTGTAAATGGCTAGAATTCAGAAGGACTCTATGTAAGTCAGGGACGTAAGTATTGCTATTAGTAATGCCAGCGCATGTATAAACGATCACATCCTTTACACTAATCATACCCAGCTATACCGTACTTGAACTTATACAGTGCAAATCCGTACCACAAGCTGTCAAAGTAGCTTGATCCCAGGTAACGAAATTGTGGGAATCATTTGCAACAGAATTACATTCCCAAAACTGAAGTATCGTACCACGCAACTCGTGCTCTTCATTTGTAATAATAATTTTGATCTTCCGCATTCAAATTCAGGTGGACGATCCCCGATGATCGATTGGCATTGAAGGGGCTAGGCCTTGGTCTCACAACGAAATGCACTGTTAGCCTAGAATTCAAACTGTTCTAGCGCGAAAAACTCGTCCGCCGTTTTTTCCCGTGTAGGGCACTATTCAACTATTACAACCCCAAAATCTCAAAATTTTATTTTTCGTCGAAACTTTGTCTATAGGGGTAATTCGGTGCCCTGATTACGAAAATGACATTCATTTTCAACGGGGGCGCCATCTGGCGCCAGTTGGCGTCACCTTGTCACGACAGTTGTTTTCACCAAACTCGATGTAAACTTCTGGGTAGGGGTAATTTGGTGTCCAGATTACGAATATGACATTCATTCTTGGCGCTAGCGCTTTACTCTCTTTCGTCTGCGCCCTCCTAGTGACTAGATCGCGATCAGGACTAAGCTTTAGGGGAGAGGAAAGATATCAGTGAGTGAGCCCCCTACCCTGTGATCTCACACGCTCCATCTTCGTCACACGGTGCCTGATTCACTCATTCCGAGTCTCCCTATCCCCTAAGCTTAGTCCCAAGGCGCTATGTATAGGTGAGAGAGCCCAGAAAAGCGGGAAGTATGCGGTAAACAGCGGTAATGTCAAAAACGAATGTCATATTCGTAATCAGGACATCAAATAATATGAAAGTGTCACTTTCGATGACAAAGGCCTAAAATCAAATGTTATATGTTTTGATACCCTTGCACCAACTAGACATCGTTTCCTACTTGTGTACAGACCTCCAAATTCCACTGCTACCCAAGACGATGACCTCAGTTCTATTTTGTTTGATCTCGCTTCAGCGGTGACCTTCCCCACCACCATCTTGGGAGACTTAAATCTAACCATTGATTGGTGTAACCGCTCGGGCGTCCCTGCCTCAGAGAACAGATTCCTATCGATTTTTGATGCTCTCTCGCTAATCCAATACGTTGACTTTCCTACACGGCAAGATAGCGTTCTGGATGTGGTGCTCTCGCCCCCAGGAACTATTTCCCACATTAGGTCTCTGCCACCGTTATCAACCTCTGATCACAATATGGTATCCTTTGTCTTGACTAGCATCCAAAAGGAGTATGAGCGAAGCATTACAAGGGATTATCACCATATGAATAGAGAGGGCATATCGTATCATCTTAAAAAGATCAACTGGTTGGCAGCCTTTTCCGATTACAACAACATTGACGATATCTACGCGAGATTCATTTGCATTATTCACAACCTCATCGAGCAGTTCGTTCCCCTTAAAAACATTGAAACTCATACGGGGAACTATCCACAACATATCTTGAATCTACTAGAACAACGAGAGAGGATTTTTGAGGAAAGCTCAAATGCTCTCGAATCAGCCCAATTTTTGGACCTGAGTAAAGAACTTGACCGCCATTTGAAACGCTTCCTTGACTATAAGGTTAAGAAATTAGCCGAGAAAGGGAACGTTAAGTACTTAGCGGCACATGTAAATAAATTTCTCAAACAAAGAGGAGCAAGTTGCAATCTACTGGGAGTAAATGGTGAAAAATACACCACCGATCACGATAAAGCTGAGGCCCTTGCCGACTACTTTGAAAGTGTTTTCACTCCAGCCGCTAATAGACCTCACTCCACACCCAATA